TGGTATTTAATTCTGTCAAGATGATAAAAGTAACCGTTATCCATTTTCTCACATTTTTATTAAATAATTTAATTTGTGAATCTAGCTTTTCTCCCCTTTTAAATTCTCTTTGCTATAAACAGCATAGATTTCTTTACTTATAAGCTGATGTGGGGCAAAGTTAAGTGAAATATGAGAGAGAGAAGGAAATAAGTTATAAAAGTTTTTTTGAGTTTATGGAAATTTGATTTATGATTTGTAACTCTTTCCCTTTCTAAAACAATAGTAATAATCAAAAACAAAAACAAAAAAATTATGGTACACATAAATTATTGTACAATAAGCAGACATAAACAATTGTAAAACCATCATTAAGCTATTGATAAATATCTTGAATATTTTTGATATAAATCATTGCAGACTCTGTTTGAGTCATTGATTGATTCAGATTTTTAAATGTGAAAGCAAATCAAGTATATTTTATTTCCTTTTTCTCATACTCTTTTTGTAGAGTCATTAACATTGTAAACTTTATTGAGATGATGGAATTCTTTCTTTATATTGTTAACCCTATGGCAAATGTTCTAATGAGCTCTCCATTGCAACAATTCAGACCTTTATAGCTGGGTCATGCCATATTTCACATCCACAGAGTTAAATCACCTATATTTCCCCCATACCCCAATTGTAAGGAGAAATTTCCTTTCAGCTTTTTGCTAAGGACTGCTATTTTGTGGAACAGGTTCCCTCGTGGATCCTTTACTCTGATTTATCCTCATAATCTTCACTTCCTAATTCCTCCTCTTACATTCATATCATGCACTTCATTCTGTAACCCTCTACCTTGAGTGACTTTCTAGCCCTGTATTTAGTATAGTAATAGAAGAGAATATGTTGCCACCTTCTCTTAAATATATATTACACACCTCATTCAGCATTACCATTTTATTAACTGTAACCCTCTACCTCAAGTCTCTCTTGACCTTGTACTAGATGAACATTAGTAAAAAAAAAAATAAAATGTTACCAAGTTTTGGCATCCCTCATAAGGGAAAAGTGGTTTTCTTTTAATAACACAATATGGTTGTTTATGGATGCCATCTGCCATGAAGAAATATAAAGTACATCTCAACAATATAAAGAAGAAATTAATTTGTCTGAACAAAAGATGGCATCTGCCTATTTTGGTGATCAAGTCATTTACTAAGGTTAGTGTGAAGAGATTAAATCCGCCGTTTTTGGTTGTTCAATTTTGGACTCACTGCTTAGTCAGCATTAATTAGGCAATATCTGCTGTGAGCTACATTTTGGCATGTGATATGTTATTTAGTTTATACAAATTTAATTTAAAGCCCCTAACAATTTGTCATGATTAACCAGGCAGCAATAAAACATGTCACGGTATTATGAGTTTTTTTTTTCCCTACCCAAAAAAAAAAACTACCAGGTTTTGATATCTCAAAATAGCAAGAATCCCAAATTCTTATCTTGATATATCACTTGATGAGAATAATCTCTATGTAAGGATAGACAACTGTGGTTTCTGAGCTGACAATCATTCCTCCTGTCCAAATGTATAAACATCTGAAAAAGTAAAGGCACACAAAAATAGTCAGTATTTTTGGAAAGAGTTAATTCTGAAAGAAAAGTGAAGTGCATAAAAATGTTGTAATCACAGCAGCCAGTATGTATTTTTACCTGACACTGTTGGTTTAAAGGGATTAGTCAGAACGAGGAGACAGGGTAGAGGGTGTTTTTTTTTTTTTTTTTTTTTTTTTTTTTTGCAGAGAATGTATATAGTAAGATTTAATTTTGACAATGGAAGCATTTATTGACCATACTGGACACAGTAAAGGATTCGGTTTGAAATTCCTTTCATTAACTTTGTGTAGGCGTCTATAAGTTGTGAAAATGTTCTCTAAGTTGGCATGGAAGTAAATGTTTGAGTTTGATGTGAACTAGCAGAATGTGAGTGAGTTGCAGTGTGTGGATAAATGTCCTTTTTAAAAGTCAGGTCTCACAATATCAGGAATTTTTTTTTTTTTTTTTTTAACTAGTCTATCCTAGAAACAAAGAAAAGTTAAGTTGGTATAAAAGTTCTGCATAAACAGCATTTTTAGCAAGACATCTATTTTCTAAAGTGCTATTTGTTAAATACTAAGTCCGCTTGGATTTCTTAGTCTGGGTATATTGGTTGTTTTTTTAAAAAATATACTTTTCCTTTAAATTTGATTAATTTAAACATTTACGTTGATAATATATTATTTTCGGTTTAATAAATTTGCTTATTTTTCAGCAAAGAAACCATCCACACATTTATGACAGATGAAACTGTTAGTATAGTTTAATAGAGTTTGCTGATGCATTGTATAGTTGATTTTAAGAAATCAAAAGTCCTAAAACATGAAAGTCAGGCTTCCTTCACTCATGTGGATATATTTAACCACTTAGATTTGCTGTTTGATCTTTTATCTCCAGGTATTTTACATATATATAATATATATATATATATTTTTTTTGTTCTCATCACATTTGGAGATATATGGTCCAGTTGGTTGAAATGTGCAACTAAAGTGAAATTTCAATTGTTATCTCTGATAGTTTCTTTGTGGTTATTAAACTAAAAATGGAATTCTGTACCATTTTCCTCAATCTACAGAGTGCCCAGTAAAAAAAAAAAGGTAAATTCAGAAAGACGTGAGACAACAGTTGAAAACTGCTGATGACTGATGTGACTGAAAAATTCAGGAAGAATTCTTGCACATTTTGTCAATCCCCATGTTGGATGTTCTTCTTTGAAAAGTGCAGTAACTTGGCATTCAAAACCAGTGAATTGTTTAGCCATACAAGAAAGGCAGAGCGAAAGACAAATGTGTCTGCAAATAACCTTTGAATGGTGAGTCAGAAGATTGAGCAGCAATTAATCAATCATAAAAGAACCAATCAGAATTATTGAGCCTTGACTAATTATTCAAGGTTATGAATATTCAAGAAATTTATGCAAGGTCAGTTATTCCTGAAAGATAAAACTATGATAATAAATTTACCATTTTTTTTAATGGGAAAAGTGTGTTTACCTTTGTTAGATATATTATAAAAAATTAGATTTTACTTAAACTGTCATGAGGGAAATCAAGGGAGAAGGTTAGATTGGGGTAAAAATATGGGTGTTTCATTAAGACGGATCAAAGTCAGCAGTGAATAAATCAGTGTTATTGGTGAAAATTTATTTATTTCTCTATTGAATCCTGTTATTTAGATCATGGCAATTATGTGTGAAAAATAATATCGCCCAAATGTCTGCCAAGGCTTTGGCGGCACACCTCCACTCAATGGTCAAAATTTTTGTTGACATCTCTGCATAGTTGCTCTTCAATCTCACTAATATGCCTTATTATCTCATCTTTCAGCTGTTGAATTGTTGGATTGTTGGCATAGACCTTACTTTTGAGATGACCCCAAAGTAAGAAATCTAAAGGCGTTAAGTCGCACGATGGTGGTGGCCAATTGACTTTGTTATTTCAAGAGTTGATGAGACCTGGGAACTTCTCATTGCATTTCTGTTTGAACGTCCATTTTTGTAATAGGCTTCGATAACTTTAACACGTTGTTTGATTGTTAATCTTTCCATGGTTGAAATTGCCAAAGACTTAAGTTGTTAAATATGAAAGAAAAAGAAAAAAATCATTAGATGTTAAACTTAATTCACATTTAAAATCGATCCAAGTTATGTAAGAATCTAAATGAAATTGGCGAGATTATAGACCCAACACACACACACACACACACACACACACACACATTAAAATGTAAAATCCCCAGCCTTACTTGTTGCATCAATGTAAATGGATCTAGTTTGATGAAGTCCTAAGAGATAAAATTTACCAAGTGAAAACTTTTTCCACTTTGTTATATATCTTTCCTCTCTCTCTATCTTTCTAGATATATATATATATATATAGAGAGAGAGAGAGAAAGAGAACGAACAAATAGGAAAACATTTATCAATCAAACATAATTCACTTTTATTAAAGCTTCATCAGAGCAATGATGAAGTTTTAATAAAATTGAAATACATTTCCTATTTGTCCTTTATCTTATCTTTTGGTGTTTTCCATTTATTTGATCTCAACTTATATATATATATATATATATATATATATATATATCGCTAAGAACAACCAGGTAATAAGCAGGAAAAAGAAAATAAATGATCACACTTTTGTAAAACTAAAAGGCCAAGTTACCATTCTTTCTTCTGGCAAAGGGAAAGCTGCTTGGTCTCAATGTATATTGTTTCTAATATTATTATTACAATTTATAGTGAAGAAAACAGCGACTTACCTCGTCAAATCAAGTGACAGCGCATCGCGTGTATTCTACAATGGAAAATGTGTCGAAAAAGAAAATTACTTACCAAACTAAAGGGCACGTATTCCGCATGACATGCTGAAGATGGAATATTTGAATTAAAAAAAATGCTACACTAAGTCCGTCACAAGAAGTCGTCTATAAAAGTATTTTTTCTGACTGGTGCAAAATTGTGATTTGTGAAATAGTATTTGCAAATTGAGTTTTCAGCATTTTCTTTCTGTTCCCAATATTCGAGTCTGAACTTAGTGATTTATTCTCAGTGACGTGGAAATAATCTGCGACAAGCATTTCCTTTGCAATTCCAGATCGCTTACACAATTAATGAACATTGTGACTGCTGATGTTGTTAGTAGGTATTTAAAAAGTAATATAATCAAGACCAATGCAAATCTAAGCATTAATGGAACTTTTTGCAACTTGAGAAGTTTTCTTTTTCATTTAAATATTATTTGTACTAATTAAGCATCAAATCTTTCATTTTTTCACTTCTGTGTTTTTCAAAGTTAAAAAATGGAAAATGAAAACTAGAAAACATGAACATTTTAAACTCTTTTGCAGTTCTTTCAGCATGTGTAACAATTATTGACATTTTAATTCATTTTTTTTAAAGCTTTTTTCTGTCTTTAATATTTCCTGACAAATTTCAGACATCACTCTCTGCCATTTGTTTTTTTTTATTTTTGTTTTGCTTCTTTTTTATCTTCTTCATTTTTGTTTTTGTTTTCTTCTTTTTTGTTTCTTTTTTGTTCTTTTTTTGTTTTTCTTTTTTGTTCTTTTGTTTCTTTTTCTTTCTTTATTTTTTGTTTTCCTTTTTTGTTTCTTTTTTCTTTTTCTTTCTTATTTTCTTCTTTCTTGTTCCATTTTCTTATTTTTCTTTCTCTTTGTTTTTTCTCACCACATATCATTTTGATTTTACTCCGAATTTGAAACCTTTGATTAAGTTGTCATTAAGAAATCATCATATAATAATTGTAAATTCTGATCTCCATATCCTCTCCACACATGCTTAAGATCATCAGTATCTTTAGCCTAATGAGAAAAAACACATTTTACATCACAAATTAACCCAATTCTTCTATGTGAATTAATCACTATATAAAGAAAATCTCAAAAACATGACAATGGATCAATATATATATATATGTGTGTGTGTGTATATATATATATATATATATATATATATATATACACATATACACCCTAATGGGTCCATCTCTGAAACTCTGGAGTCAGGATGCAGAAGGTAACATCAATCAGCTAAGTCACAAACGTTTTACTTATATAAGTATCTTAACATAAATAGGTTTAGTCTTTCAGCTTTTCTAGATAATTGTAAGGGTACTTAAATCTTAGCCTAAACACTCTAGACATTTTCTAAAGGTTATTGTTTTCAATTGCTTGCCATTACTGAAAAGTTTAACCACCCCACTTATGTTTGTTTGATTGTGCGTATGTCCCTTTGGAGAAACCAGACAAATTGTAAAAGTTTGTTTTTATTAACAATGCTTTTCACCTTTTTTAGTTAGTTAGGCATCTTCAGTGTGAGGTCAGAATGAAAAACAAAACTGTGTTCTTTTATATTAATACTGCTAGTATCTTTTTGTTAGGTTGGCATCTTCGGGTTGAAATGAAAGAACAAAACAGCTTTTTTTTTTCTTTTTTGTTGCTGTTTTTGTTTTATTTTTATTTTTTTGCATTAAAGCTGTTAATGCCTGTTTGTAGACATTAAAAGTTTTAATATAAAATACACCCATACACACAATGATCTGTCTTTCATACTGATCCGAATACTTCTACTTAACTACCTAATGGTAGCTTTTCCACTTTGATTTCTTTCCTTCTGCTTGGATTCTTAAGAGTTTCACATCATAAGGCTCATTAGGGTTAGATGTTTCATAAATCAAACATTTGAGCATTTTCATGTGAAACTCTTGGGTTGACTAATGGATAAGTCACTAGAACTTTTATTCATTGAATAGCTAAAGTTATTTTTTGAGTGCTTTTTGACAGGATTTCTGCTAACTTGAAAAACAATGTAAAAGACTTATAATTTTCACATATTTTCTCAGTTGTGTCATTAATATTATTGTGTGTGTGCGTACTTGATTACATTTTACAATACTTGTTAATCTGTACATTTATGAGTGAATACTTACATATGTTTGTAAATTTGCATGTGAAAGCACATTTTGTCCTATAAATGCTTGTGCACAAATGTGTTTGGATAAGGTAATCAGTTTGTGTGTTTGAAGATATTTTGAAATCTGTATGTATTTGAATATTTAGTTTTAAATCTAATTTTTGAATATATTTGTCCACTTTTATTTTTCACTCCTTATAAAACTGACTTGTTTATTTGAACTGGCAAAATTTAAATTGTGTTGCTAGTCATTGACAAAGACAGGAAATAAACTTTGAACAGGAAATCTTTTTATTCTTTCTTTCCTTTGCATTTAGCTTTCGAAATGAAATCTCTGAATTGGGGAAGAAAAAAAAAAAAAAGAATATTTTTCCTTTTTTTCTTTTCTATTTCAAAGTTTGTTTATTTCCAAAGAATTTATTTCATCAACAGGCTTCATCTTGATATGCTGGTTTCATTTGAGAACAAATTATATGATACAGAAGATATTCTTTCTTTATTTCTTGAGATGCTTTTTGCTGTCGAGTTCTTGTCATTGATTCTGAGATTATGTACAGATTAAGGTTTCATAGATCAAAACTATAATTTTCAAAATGTTATACTTGTGGCCATTTTGCAAATGGTAATATTCAGAATCCATATCCAGAACCCCCCTTTCATGATCAAGAAAAAAAAAAATGTTTAGATCTTGAATCATAAAAACGATATGTTTGATATAACTGAAAACATTGTTAAACATTCACTCTTGTGCATTCTTTATTTCATTTTTACATATAAAATTGAAATTGATAAGCAGTAAGGAATTGGAAAGGCTTAAAAATCGGCATGTATTAAAATTCCTTATGGAGAGGTAGGGCAAAAGACAGATGTGACAATACAAAAATATGTGTGCATCTTACCCACCTGACGTATGAAACCAGTCTTTGTTTATATGACATTTAGACAAAAGCAAGGTTAGCCCCAAAAGATTGAAAATGATAAGGAAAATAATGAGAAGATACAGGCAAAGTGTGAGAGGAGCATAATTGACATTTCTATGTGTCCAGCTCATGAAATATAATTAATTCTCTATAGCAAGGGTTCTCAACCAGAGAAGGGGAGAATTTCAAGGTTTCAATGGTGGAGGGGGGTATTTAGCTTTTTTTTTTTTATTTACAGAATTTTGTTTATTGAATTACAGTACCCCAGCATTCTATTGAACTTTTTGTTTATTGTATTCTGCTTCAGTTTATTTATTTAATAATTAATTATGAATTTAAACAAATTACTGTATATTTATTCAAGTTTAAAAATCCATCAGCATTTTCTATTGTTATTAAGTTTATAAAATTCTTATATAAAAATAAGACATATATAAATGCATATTTACTAATATAGAAAAAGAATGATGATTTTCAGTAAATATATGTATATTATTTAGTATGCACATTTTGAGTCCGACACTCTTGGGAAGGGGGTGAATGTCATTGTGATTTACGGTAAAAAGAGTGTTTTGGGCCAAAAAGGTTGAGAACAACTGGTCTATAGCGATGGTTAACAAGATTGTTTTAAAAATCACTTTGCTACTATGGTCTTCTGTTAGTCTTAATAAATTCTGACTACCCTATGGTATAATTCAACTAGAATTTGGTCTTCTCACACAAACCATAAAAGTGAAATCAATTTCAAATACAATGTATAAGAAGACTCTATGCTTGCTACCATTGAATTCTTTTTCCATGATATTGACAATATCCCAGTATTTAGCAAAGGTCAATCATTCTTCCTTATGTGACAGACATAGGCAATCATGGCTCTCCACAATTTCCTGTCCTTTGCAGTGCTTAATAATTTTTTCTCACCTAAAACAAGCAGAATGTCCTAATTGTGACAAAGCAGAAAACCTCTGTTACGCGTTTCATCCTCTAGAAAGGGGTCCTCAACCAGGGGTGGGGGTCTGGGGTGCTTTTCATCCTCTGGGGGTGGGGATCAAAGACAATGTGTAGGAAGACTCTATCCTTGATACTATTGAGTTTATTGGTCCTTTTTCCATGATATTGACAATATCCCAGTATTTAGCAAAGGTCAATCATTCTTCTTTATGTGACAGACATAGGCAATCATGGCTCTCCACAATTTCCAGTCCTTTGCAGCTCTTCATAAATATTTTCTTTTTATTATTTCTTCTAAACCTTGTTCAGCCATCCATTTACTCAATCTAACTAAGTATGTTATGTGTTGATTTCCTCTGTTCCTCTTGCCTTCAGTCTGTCCTGTGAGTATCAGATTTTCCAAGCCCTCTTCTCTCATTATGTTCCCTAGAAATTTCAACTGTCTGTTCCTGATGTTAAGTATAAGTTTCCTTTTTGTTTTGCACTTTCTCTAAAACTTTGTCATTGCTTACATATTTGGTTTATGGTATCCTCAGCATCCTTCCGTAGAACCACATTGTTTCAAGTCACTTTATCTTTGAGCAGATTGTTGAGCATTCACTGCCATATAGGAAAACTAATATTATATAACAATTCCGTACTCTTTGATCTTCCTTATTCTCATAATCCTGACATTTTATCAACTCGTCTAACATTTATGTCACACATAAAAAAAGAAAAGAATTTACTTGATAATTGTTTTTTTTTTCTTGATTATTAAAATTTGTGAGAATATATTTAGAAAATTGATATTAAGTTAATATTGTGTCCTTGATATTCTATAACATTCATCTGTCTTTCAATTATTGGTTTTGTTAACTTTTCTATTTTAACATAGAAACATGTAGCAGTTTTTGTTTCTTTTCAGATTTTTAGGTTTTTGTTTTGCTTGTAAAGGGTGTTCCAACAACTTGGGCTGATTTTAAATGTGAATTAAGTTTAAGTGTCTAATGACTTTTTTTTTTTCTTTTTCTTTCAGATTTAGCACCTTAAGTCTTTGGCAATTTCAACCATGGAAAGATTAACAATCAAACGTGTTAAAGGTATCGAAGCCTATTATGAAAATGGATGTTTAGACAGAAATGCATTCTGCACCCTGCAAGTTTTTGGTCAACATAATCGACCAACTGAGACTGCAAGTGGAAACGATGTAACGTTGTGAAGAGTTTCAATTCCTGTGTGCAATGACAAATAGAGGTGTCTGGATTTTTGGCCACATTCTTGTGCACTGCAGCAATGTTTTCAGCTGAACGATGTAAACAAGCATGCAATGGTGTTTTTACATCTGCCACCAAGCCAGTTTGTTTGAATTTACAAACAATTTCTCCATTTGCACTCATAAAACTTTAACACATTGTTTGATTGTTAATCTTTCCATGGTTGAAATTGCCAAAGACTTAAGTTGTTAAATCTGAAAGGAAAAGAAAAAAATCATTAGATGCTTAAACTTAATTCACATTTAAAATCAATCCAAGTTATTGGAACACCCCTTATATTGAATTCTTATATGATTTTAATGAAGGACCACAAGTTTTCTGTTGGATTCTGGAGAGGCTTGGTGATATTTTATTAAACTGGTAGTTTTATTTTATTATCGGATGATGTATTGTTTACCATTTGTTATTATTTTTTACTAATATTTGGTTGTTTTAGCTTCTATTTTTGTTGCTCAATCACTTTTATGATATCTCTTGATCTTTTTACCTCTCTTCTTTAATTAATTACCCCTCTCCTTTCTTTAATTATTTATTCTTCTTCTTTCTTTAGTTAATTTCCCCTCTTCTTCCTTTAATTAATTACCCCTTTCTTTCTTTAATTAGACTTCTTTCTTTAATTAATTACTCCTCTTCTTTCTTTAAT